CATTCTATATGCCCGGCTCCCTCTAGTTCTCATTGGCATCTCCCTGTATCTTGATTATTTCCTCCTCTTTCTTTCTCTTCCCAGAAATCCCACCTATATCTCCTGCCTAACTATTATTAGCCATTCAGCCTTTTATTACACCAACCAGAGTGTACAAATATCCCACAACAGATGATCTTGGTTCAGTTCCCAGTACCCACATGATGGCTCACTAGCATCCAACACCTTTTTCTGACCTCTTCAGAGACCACACATGAACATGGTGCACAGACATACATGCAACCAAAACATCCATACACATAAAATAAAAATAAATCTTTAAAATAAAAATACCCCCACACATCTCTGTCATTTTAAGCCACCGGATTTGTTGTAATTTGTTATGACAGTCATAAGAAAATAAACCCTGTCCCTAAATTAAGTCAGTAAACCAAGGGTGGCGGTGCATGCCTATAATCCCAACGTTTGGGAGGTGGAGTCAGGAGGATCAAAGGTTCAAGACTAGCTATAGCTCTATAGTGGCTTGCATGAGAATGGCCCTGATAGACTCATCTATTTGAGGTGGACTGTTTGGGAAGGATTAGGACATACGTATGACCTTGTTGGAGGAGGTGTCACTGGGGTAGCCTTTGAGGTTTCCAAAGGCTCAGGCCATTCCCACTTAGCTGTCTCTGCCTCGTGTTTGTGGACAGGGATGTAAGCGCTCAGCTATGCTCCAGTACCATGGCTGCCTGCTGCCATGCTTTCCAACTTGATGGTCATAGACTAATCCTCTGGAGATGGAAGCCCTTGATAAATCATTTCTTCTACAAGTTGCCTTGGTGATGCTATTCTATCCAATCTTGTTTTATAATTGCAGCTTCCAACTGATATATAGAGTTGCCAGGGCATCCCCCAGCATTTAGTAAACACATTTCCAGTAAAAAGTGGTCATTTTTCTCTAGAAATAAGAGCAGTTTTTCAGTGGGAAGGTAGAAAAGTAACTAAGACAGGATACATGGTACCATCTCAAAAGCAAAAAATAAAAATTGAACTCAATGAACAATACTGTGTTTCTGTTCTAATTTGCTATGGCAAAACGACATTCTTAAGTAGGTATCTGGACACCCTTACACTTTATCATTGTTGTTTTAGTTTCAGGCTTCCACTCTGAAAACTTCTGATTGCTCACCACACTTTGCCCGTGTTTGGCTGAATGGAGTTTCCAGGAGAGGAGGCAGAAAGAACACCAAGACAGGTGATCATCTCAGCAACATAGTAAGGTCTGCTCTCAGCTCAAACTTGAACTTCTTTTACTTAATTCTCTTCTGAATTCAGTCTTACATTTCTATTTATCAATCTTAATTCTGGGCTTCACCTTCACACTGAAAAACTGCTCTTATTTCTAGAGAAAAATGACCACTTTTTACTGGAAATGTGTTTACTAAATGCTAGGGGATGCCCTGGCAACTCTATATATCAGTTGGAAGTTGCAATTATATAACAAGAAATCTGGGATTGTCTAATTCAAATGATTCAACAAGGACTCTGGGTTCTTTGAGGACTTTAAACATCAGAGAGAGCTCAGTACCTTCTTTTCCTTTCCACTCACCAGGAAGAGCAGAAGAACCATTTGGGCAGAAGTGCTGGGAACTGGGCTGTTGTTCCCTCCTTATTCTTCTGTAATGCACTATTGGCAGCAGGTGTGTGTGTGTGTGTGTGTGTGTGTGTGTGTGTGTGTGTGTGTTGTTTCAAATCATTAAAGAGAGAGAGCAAGAAATAATAGAACTCTCCTGGATATAGTTTGTCAGGTCAGGAAGGACCTCACATTTCAACTTTAGTATCTGTAAAGCAAACGTTCTTGATACAAAACAACTTGAAACCAGTAGCTTGAAAAGCATGTTTTCCTAATTGTTGGGAAAGTTACCTGGTATTACTAATAATGATTATCTAAGAACTAGAGTCCCAGTTTATTCGCGATGTATCCCTTCTGCATTTCTGCTTATAAGCAGTGGTAGTTATGGCACAGCCTGAATACTCAGCAAAGTGTCAGAGGACTGGTGAAGAAAAGGGCTGGTCTCTTGAGCCCTCATTGGCTCCACCCCACTCTCAGGTCTTCAGAAATGTCTGTAATGGAAGAAATACTCCAGTTACTGAGATCAATAGTCCTGGACATTACCTATCTCTGGGTGTGTTCCTTTACATTCATTCTTTCAGTCAGAAAGATACTTGGGGGGGTTACCTAGGGTGTTCAAATCCTACCTCTGCCATATTCTAGCCACTCGACTTTGGTGAAGCTTACCCAAGCCTCAAACCCTTGCTGTGTAAATCAGAGATAATATTGCCTTCTCTAGTATATGAAAAACAGTGAGATGATACACATAAAGATTTATCCATTGCATTGGGCATATGACATCAACTTTAACAATAAGCTAATGAGCAATTAATTACTATGGTCCAAATACAACAACCTTTTCAAGCTAAAATAAAAACTGCCATCTAGTGACTGCTTCATTCAGGCCAAATATGCATCTTTTCTTGTCGCCTGCCATCATCCTAAAAACCTAAAAGACATGGATTATTTTCATTGTCCTATAAATGGCAAAACAATTCAACAAGATAAAGTTCACAGTTACCCATCAAAAAGAGTTCACAGCAAAGATCTGGATGGGATTTGAACACTGGCCTATTTAAACCCAAAGCCCATCTACTCTCATTCTACACACCACCTTACTGATAGCTGGGAGAATAGCACATGTATCCTGTTCATAAGCTACAGACAAAAACACTACGTATTAACTCAGGACACCACTGTTTAATATTAGTGAGCACTCAGTGTGGTAGACTTTGTCCTTCATTTATTTTTTAACTGTTCTTCGATTAGACACTATCACTAACTTTTTATTTTCTTTGCCGAAGAGAAACTGAAGGACCAAAAGTTTCTTAGTATCATCTGTAATCTAAAGGTGTGTGTTTGACACATGCACACTAGAGCCACTCTGGAGAGCTAGCTATGTATACACAGTCCTGACAAATGACAACAGTGGTGCTTATGAGACTCCTAAAAGACATGAGGTGTGAGCTAGAACCAAATTGAGAAGGGAGACAGAAAGGGGAAAGACAGACAAGGCACAGAAAACAGCACAGGCAAAGGCACACTCTCTTTGCTGTCTTTTGTCCTTACACTACAAGATTTAAGAATGATGTTAGGGGCCTGGAGAGACGGCTCAGAGGTTAAGAGCACTGACTGCTCTTCCAGAGGTCCTGAGTTCAATTCCCAGCAACCACATGGTGGCTCACAACCATCTGTAAGGTGTGCAAGCATGCATGCAGATAAGTGTATACATAATAAATAATAAAATCTTAAAAAAAAAAGAATCATCTTAGACCAGACTTGAATGGTCTGCTATAGAGGACACATTGTTCCCTTCTACTTTCCCCTTTATTGCAAGCCCTTTTGCACACCCCTATCACTCATCACAATCTTTATTTGCCATTCCTTTGCCATCTGCATTTCTACTGCCACTATCACCTAGGCTCTTCTCAACTCTTAACTTGAGATGGCTTTCAAGGTGTTTACACTGTCACAATCTAATCTAAACAAAAGTGTACACTGTTTCCTTTTTTTTTTTTTTTGGTTTTTCGAGACAGGGTTTCTCTGTGGCTTTGGAGGCTGTCCTGGAACTAGCTCTTGTAGACCAGGCTGGTCTCGAACTCACAGAGATCCACCTGCCTCTGCCTCCGGAGTGCTGAGATTAAAGGCTTGCGCCACCAACGCCCGGCTTGTACACTGTTTCCTTAACCATTACTCTGATCATTGAATTACATGGCCTCTGAAATATTCAGTCTCCCATGACTCCGAGTATTCTGAAGTCTACATCTAACCAGTTAGTGCTATCAGCAAAATCTCAATGTCTCAATGTTAATCTCCTACCACGTCGCTAATACTGACAGGCGTCCTTAGACTTTGCATCAAATCAGAGTTACTCCTGCAGCGCTTATTGAAAATATTATTCTGTACTCAAACCTGAAGAAACCTATTAGAGAGGTTTTGGGCCCCAAGCATTTTGGGGTTTTTACTGTTTGCCTTTTATGCTGGATGACCATTATATAGACACGTCTCCCTTGGTGTTTCTAAGGCTCACATTATTTTGAGAAGCACTTCAACAACGGTGATTTTAGCTTTGCCAAAATCTGGCAAATTAGAATTCTCGGCTACTTTATGATGAGCTTAAATAATTACTTCTCTTAGAATCTCTTTTTGTTTGTTTGAGACAGGCTCTTTCTATGTAGTCCTGGAACTCCCTATATAAAACATGATGGCCTCAAACCCAGAGAGATGTTCCTGCCTTGGCCTCCAGAGTGCCATGCCCGGCAGAATCTCTTAATTCTCAAGGCTCTTCAAAACCTAGATGAAATGCCTCCTCTCCCAGGAAATCTTCTGTGCTGTTCTTGCCAATTTGATATTTAGCTACGCTTTTCTCGGGGCACTTTTATTTAAAACGTCCAAGGCCAGGGTTTGATTACCCGCGCCGACGTGGCAGCTCACGTTCCAGGGGATCTGACACTCGTTTCTGACCTCTGCGGGCTCTGCACTGACATGGTGCACAGACATACACGCGGGCAAAACACACATACATAATCATAAATAAATCTTTCTAAAACTCTTGTCTTTAAAAATGTTCAAGACAGGGGTCACTCGCCTCCTCCCTCCCCACTCTCTATCGAGGCATGCTTAAAATTACTATGCGTAACAGTCGCCAGGAATCCCATGAACAGAGTATTGTAAGGGAGAAGAAAAACAGCGTCGCTCGCTGTACAGAACACCACAGGCCTAACTCGTAGAAAACAGACCCAGGGGCCTACAACTCCCAAGGAAGCAGCCTCCGTCTTTCCGCCAGCTCCACCCTCTGCCTTTCATCTCGCCCTCTGATTGGCTTCTCTTCATGTCAGCCCCGCCTTACAGCTGCTCACGTAAAGCTCTGGCTGCCGCGGGATTGGTTGTTTGGCGCGCGCGGGGCTGTGGGATGCCGGCCGGCAGAGGCGGAGGGGAGAGGGCGCGGGAATCCTGTGTGGCTCGGACGCAGTGTCCCTGAGCTGGGTTCAGTCATCCCCTGCAGCCGGGAGGTGTTTCCTAACAGTCCTGGTTCACCACTGGGGACTGAGGATTCAAACTCGGACTCCAGCCTCGGTCCTCTTTCCCCACCAACGATGGCTCCTGTCTCCCGACATTGGTGGGGTTGGACTTCATCTCTTTTTTGCTTTGAGGATCTACTGTGTGTAAGCTCTCGCTGGCCTGCAAAGGAGTCTTTGCAGAGGGCCATGTGCTAGAGAATGGTGGAATGAGAGCTTGGAGATGCCTGAGGTGCAGTCCCTATCAGCCTGATAGGTTGGGGGTAAGCTGGCATTATAAATTGTGCTGATGCTTTTCTAATCGAGGGCCATTAGATAGGGCTTAGCGGGGAAGGGTTGGTTACTGAGGTCATTTATTGAACCCCTGTGTTCCAGGCTCCTAACAGTCAGCCTCGGTTCTTTAGATACTCAGTGAGATGGGGCTGATGGGAGAGATGGGGGTGGGGGTGGAGGAACTGGTTAACTGCTGCATAGTTGACTTGTGGTGATTGCTGTGATGGAAGAGAAAGCTGTGAAGGTCAGAGGAAACTAAGGTAGTTCAGGGCTTTTAACAGAAAAGGTAACATTTGAGTAGCTCCGAAAGTATACTCTGCCTTTCTCCCATTGAGACAAGAGCGGGAAGAAGCTTTAGGTGGAGTGTATAGAGGCAGAGAACTAGGAAAACGTACCTGCTGGGCATGGCAGGAGCTTGGGTTCACTTATCATGTCTGTCTGGATCTCTAGGTGGAATTCGTTCCACAAACATTGCTTCCGTAATTCAGAGGAAGGGCAGAGCCTTCCCTTGGGATTAACTGGGATAAAGTTTAATGCAAAAAGTGGCAGTGCGGAGGGTCACAACTGGAGAGGCAAAACTGAACTGAAGGGTTTCTACCGAGGGAAAGGCACAAGTTAAATAGAGTAGATCTGAGAACTTACAAATTGTCTGGGTTGGGTGGTCTGTAAGAGTTGTTAGGGTTCTGCTATTAATTAGATAGAGGATAAATGTGATTTATTTTGGATTTTTTAAAAAAAAATTATTTATTTATTATGTATACAACATTCTGCTTCCATGTATATCTGCACACCAGAAGAGGGCACCAGCTCTCATAAGAGATGGTTGTGATGCCACCATGTGGTTGCTGGGAATTGAACTCAGGTCCTCTGGAAGAGCAGTCGGTGCTCTTAACCTCTGAGCCGTCTCTCCAGCCCTTATTTTGGATTTTTAATTTTGTTTTTAAGACAGGATTTGTATTGCTCATGCAGGCCTCCAACTCGGGATTCTTCTGCTTCAGCCTCCCAAAGCAGTAGGATTACGGGTGTATCTACTACTACACCTGCTTGATTTTTGTTCTTGTTTTGGGGGTTGTTTTTTGTTCTGTTGGTGGTTCTGGTTGACCAAGGGCTTCGCTTGTGGTTTTGAAATACCTTGAATGCCAAGCAAAGTGATTTGGATTTTATTCCCTGGGCCATGGGGAGTAATTGGATGCTTGAAGTAGCTGATTCACACTTTTATAGGGTTTTGTTTTGTTTTGTTTTTGTCAGTGTGTATATGTGTTTTTGCCCAGGACCCACTGAATCACAATGTTGTCAAGCTGATGGGTTTAAAGTCAGTTACTGGTCCTTTCTAAGAGCTCCTAGTGCTCTTAACTACTGAGACAACTCCCCAGTGCCAGTAGTTTCTGCTATATTAATAAAGGACAGGAGTTGAGAAGTTAAGAGGTGGAAAGATATAAACCCGGCATTCAAACCTCAGTTCTCTTCTTCATTGTGATATTAATTGCTATAGCGCTTTAGCAGATCCTAACCTCTCAAGAATTTTTGGACTGAAATTAGAAGATTCTGAGAAAAAATTTGTGTTGTATGGTTTTGTTTGTTCACTGTAACTTTTCCTATATTGCCCAGGCCTCTAACTCCTTGGCTCAAGTGACCCTCCTGACTTACCCTGTAGAGTAGCTGGAACTACAAGCATTTGTACTGTATTTTTTATTGGTGGTTGAATTTTATGTTAAATAGTTAATAATTTTGTAAAGAACCCTTTCTATAGCCACTATGTTAAATTAGGCAATTATGTCTCTTCATAGACATCCCTAAGGATTTTTGTTCAAATAAATGGAGGTTGGACTCATTTAGATAACATTTTTGTTGTTGGTGGTGTTGATTTGAGACAGGGTCTTGCTATGTAGCTCTGAGAGCTGTCCAGGAACTCACTGTGTAGACCTCAAACTCACAGAGATTCGAGACAGTCCTCTGCCTCCCATGTGCTGAGATTAATGGCATGCACCACCATGCCTGGCTCTAAAAAAAAATTCGGGTGGTAAGTGTTTCACTACTTTGTGTTGTGAGAACAAAAGAGTCCCCTACCCACATACAAAACTTGTTGTTTAAGTTTTTTTGAGATAGGGTTTCTCTGTGTAGCTTTGGAGCCTGTTCTGGAACTCGCTCTGTAGACCAGGCTGGTCTCGAACTCACAGAGGTCCACCTGCTTCGGCCTCCCGAGAGCTGAGTTTAAAGGCATGCGCCAGCACCACCTGGCTTGTTTAAGTTTTTATTTTTGTATAGCAATTACTTACCACATAGTGGAAAGTACTTATTAAAACATCTAAAAGAAACAGCTTTTATGGTATGTAAACCTAAATGCTTTTTGGATATGAAAATAGGTACTCCTTAGGTAATCCAGGGAGGTGAAGTGAAATGATGCAATGATGAGTGAAGTATAGTCTGACCTGGTATTGCCATTGCTTCGGCACTGGCTTTGACCAGGGCATGATTCCTTAATCTTCTCTCTGAGCTGATTAGCTTGTCTTACCACACAGGTGTATTTGAACCTATGTGGATCCTGACTTGTTATGTGTTAAGAGTCTGTCTTTTGTATCCTTTGAATTACTGATACTTTCATGTTTTCCTTCTTAGGTCCAGGTGAGAGATCAGGCTTGAAAACTTCATGGAGGACTCATCTTTTCTGCCTGAATGGGAAGCAGTTCCTGACTGACTTATTACTGTATTAAAGTGTTGTAATTAACTGTGGTGTTTGTTTGGGTTAGACTTTTGTTTTGATAAGGTTTTACAAGAGCTTGTAAGAGACTATAATCTCTTCTGATATATATAAGCTTTAATAATTTCAAATCCACAGGATGGATTGTCCATTTTAAAACCCATTAAAGTTATATCATCTTTATGGTGCCAGAGAATATGCTCTCCATTGCCAGTGTGAGTCACAGAATTACACCAGGCATTTACAAATTATTTTCATTCATCCTACATTAATGATTTTTCAGATGCCATTTCTTCATCAGCTTGTCCATCCACATCCAAATAAGCAACTGAACTGTTGTGTTTCTAGTAAATGCTATTTCATACAAGGCAGCATTCTTGTTGTTAGAGCAGGATTTTTGTTCTAATGATTGGATTTGTCTTTTTAATAAGCAAAACTTTAATCAATACAGGAATACTTAAAGAAGTCAAAGGTGATCTGAAAATTTATTTTAAACCCCTGGAGTAATCTTTTGAGTTTCCACATAATCGTGCCAGCATGAACAGTTCTTTCCCAGAATCATGTATTGTTAAAATTTACTTAAATGTTTCATAGAAACTTTCATAATACCCTGGGTGATTCATGTCAATTGAGCAAACTGTCAATTGAGAAAACTCATAAGAGCAAGTAGAAAGCTTTTGCTCCTCATTAAATGTTCATTAGATAAGCATTTGGTAAACATTAGATAAGTATTTTCCTACATCTCATCATTGCTTGCTAGCTTTCATTCACATTGAAATTTCCAGACTCATCCCCATTAACAAACCCTATTTTTCTTTAACCTGTTTCCCAAGAGAGACAGGTATGGCTCATGAAGGAATCTCCAAATGCTGACAATTAGCATTTGTTAATTTGATAATCAAATGTTAGTAAGTCTGGTATATGGAAGGGGTTGTTTCTCTAAAATGTCCCTAAATATTTCTAGAAAGAGGAAGTCATTTCATAGTGTATGCCATCTGACAAAGCCTCTACACTTCACAGGTAAAGAAATATTTTTTAAAGAGAAGGCCTATTTCTCAAACCACCTGTTGTATAAGGTCTGACCTGGGTTTTCCTGTGAGCTTTTTATCCCTCTTAATCATAGTCTCTCACTTTCTTTTTACTTTTATCTTTTTACTTTTTTGACAGGCTCCCTATGGTGGCCTAAGCTGTCCTTGAACTCAAAATCCTGCTTCCTGAGTGCAGATATGACACGACCACATTCAGCTGAAAACCCCACTCTTGAGGACAAGCAACACTTAGTGGTCTTCTTTAATCCACCTCCACACTGGCCCTCACACCACCTGCAATCCCAATTCTCCTGCTTAACCAGCTTGCTAGAGAGCAAATCAAAACATTAGGATCAAGTGGCTATATCCTTCTCCCCCCCCCCCAGACAGGGTTTCTCTGTGTAGCTTTGGAGCCTATCCTGGCACTCGCTCTGTAGACCAGACTGGTCTCGAACTCACAGAGATCAGCCTGCCTCTGCCTCCAGGGTGCTGGGATTAAAGACGGGTGCCACCAACGCTCCGAGTGGCTATATACTTTTAAAGGAATCCATAGTTACTGAAAATTACTGTAGTTGTGAATTAGGGAAGTATCAATGTTTGCCATACCACAGCAGTCTTGTGGCCTTACAGTACAGAACTTGAGCTGTGTGATAATAGGCTAATTTCTTTCAGTTCTCTGGAGAGTAGAGTTTAATCAGATGCTGGACTTCTGTCGGATAGCCTGTGATGGGACAGGCTTGATGACTCCTCACATAATTAAACACACAGCGGTAACAAAACACATAGCCAGAGGTGGCAAGAACTGTATCATTCACCCGAGTTTTACGACACAGAGGGCACACTGTCTTCATTTTGGGTAGCAGGGGAGAATCAGAGTTGTAGTCTAGGTGTACAGGTGGCGGTGGGGTAGGCAGAGCAGTCAGTGATTTGATGGTTTCCTGGTTCTCAGAAGAGTACCACCAATCAAGGAACTGCAGGAAGAAGACACCCACAGAAAGGCCGGTGGAGAGGGATAAGGCGATGCCTCCCACAGCTTTCTTCAGAGCTAACTTTATCTTCTCACCAACGCTGTTGGGAAAGAAAACAACTTATTTGGGTGTGGTCACTGTAAGTGCAGTTCCATAGTTGATGGGGGAGTCACTGATTTGGAGATGGAGTGAGTGCACCTGGACTGGAGGGTCTTTTGTAAGCAGTTCACTCATTACTGAATGCTAGGTCTACACCTTAACTCTGGTGTTTCAGGTTTTTTTTTTTTTAAATCTTTTTAAGATTTTATTTATTATGTAGTCTGCCTGCATGCCAGCAGAGGGCACTGGATCTCATTCAAGGTGGTTGTGAGCCACCATGTGGTTGCAGGACCTCTGGAAGAACAGTCAGTGCTCTTAACCCCTGAGCCATCTCTCCAGCCCTGTTTCAGGTTTTTAAAAGATTTATTTATGTTTGTGTTTGCTTGTCTATATGTGCATGCAAGTACCAGGTGGGTCAGAAGATCTGGAGTTACAGGCAGTTGTGAACTGCTTAATATGGGTGCTGGGAATTATCTCTGGTCCTCTGGAAGAGTAAGCAGTATATGCTATTCACATAACCACTGTGCCATCTCTCCAGCCACCACCACCCCAACCTGTTTTTAACAACAAAAGATTAGGCTTTGACCTGAGAAAGGCATTAAAGATTTTTTTTTTTTCCTCAAGACAGGGTTTCTCTGTGTAGCTTTGGAGCCTATCCTAGCACTCACTCTGGAGACCAGGCTGGCCTGGAACTCACAGAGATCTGCCTGCCTCTGCCTCCCAAGTGCTGGGATTAAAAGGCGTGAGCCACCAACACCCAGCTCTAAAGATAAGATTTTATAGAATTTTTAAATAGAAGATAATCCACCAAAGAAATAGTTGACTTAAAAAGTAACCTATCGGGGCTGGAGAGATGGCTCAGGGGTTAAGAGCACTGACTCCTCTTCCAGAGGTCCTGAGTTCAATTCCCAGCAACCACATGGTGGCTCACAACCATCTGTTATGAGATCTGGTGCCCTCTTCTGGTGTGCAGATATACATGGAAGCAGAATGTTGTATACATAATAAATAAAATCTTAAAAAAAAAAGTAACCTAGCAGTGCTGAGATGCTTACATGTTTGAACTTGTGGGAGGTTAAGAACTAGCTAGAGGTAGTGTAGACATGGATAAGAGCATTCTTAGGATTGTATATTGCTCTGAATTGAACCTTGGCTCTGTGTCTTCTATCTGTTGGATCCCCCGACTGTTAAATGAAGCCATTGCATTTAATTCATCAGGTTGTGATGGTGCATAAGATAATGTATACAAAGCAAATACCTCCCATGGGGGTCTTACATACACCAGGCCTGCTGCAGGGTATACTTATGATGATAAGAAAGACTACCAGAATGTCAGACCTTGTTTATGGAGTGAGGAATGACTCTGCTGTGGTTTCATAAATGACTGGGGTAAACCAGATGATTGACATGCAATTATAAACTTTGTTAATGTAAGGGTTTTAGAAAATGTTGAGGTCTTACCTTCTGACAGGGTCCTGCATCACACTGGCTTCAGACAGTCTATGCTCTATAGCTTGTATGTCCTGAGCTGTCAGTCGACCTAGCCGAACTCCAGCCAGTTTCAGCAGGGGAGAGTGATGCTCAGCTTTTCCTAGGATGTATCGAAGTTGTTGTGTAAGAAACCAACCTTCCCAGGCCATGTTAACAAATGGGTAGGCCGCCAGGAAGGCTCTGTAGAATCGTTTCCAGTGAGAGGAAGGGGGGTGAATAGAGTATTCATCCTCTTCTCTCAAGCTGGAAGCCAGCTTCTCCAGCTTTACTTTCAGATAGGGTAGAAGAACAAGGAACATGGTGGATTTCCAGAGGTGCTCCTTGGGAAGACCAGCACTGGCTGGTCTCTGAGGCTGCTGTGAGCTCCCTGCTACAATCCGCTTTAAGCCATAAAAATGTTCAGAAAATGAGGCACTGGTTCTAGAAAGATAATGCTGCTGGAGCAGAAAGTCTAGCAGAGTGAAGATTTCATCAAACCACCTCCAGAAGAAGCCATAGTGTGCAGGATTTGATTCTGCAAGAACCTGCAGCAAAAACAAATCCTTTTAAATACAATCTTCAGTTTGTATTCACATTTACCCTTTTCAGTTTACACACCTGGTTTAAATAACTCGATTTTGGGGTATGGCCTAAGCTTGAGGTTCTAGGAATTGAGTACAGTGCTCTTTGGACGATCACTAAGCCATGGGTATGAATGACATTGCTAACTGCAAACCCTTGGCTACTAGTAAAATGTTTTGAGTTCTATCCAGTAGTCCCTGAAGCCTTTCAAGGAAATAATACCTTACCTTGACCACATGCTGAAGAGCGGGTCTCACTGCTGTCATTAAACTGTCCTGTGCTACCACCTCAAAGATAGATGGCTGGTCGTCCACCACCGAAGCAGTTGTGATATGAGCCCCGTGTTCAGCCATAGTATCCTGTGTGTGCTGGGATTCACTTTTCCAACAGACTAATAAGCATGAACTTGTTTTGAATCAAACGGGTGCTGAGTCTTAATCTTTCTGCACGGCACCCGGAACTCCAAATTTAATTTTACACAAGAGAAAATCAACTATGGTAAGTTAAAAAAAAAAAAAAAAGCCTTATGTATGGAGGCAGAAGGGAGGGAGTCTCAAAGCTAAGGATTGTTAGCTCCGAAGCTGGGAACGTGGCTTGTGGGGGCTGGGGAATGACTTGTCAAATGCTGCACCTCACAGGGCAGAGCGTGACTCGGAGGCAGGTGTGGGCCAAGGAACGTGTGGCTTGAGCTGCAGTCCCCGAGCTGCTGCGAGGCCCGGCTCCGGCTGCAGGCTGGGAGGCGCCTGTCCTTGCTTGCTGACCTCGGGCGCGGCGCAGAGGACCCGTGACGCCACCTGTGAAGGGAGGTCTAGGCTTTGTGACAGAAGCGGCACCCGGAAACATAAGTTTCGAGGACCTCAGCACAGCGGGCGGAAGACAGGCGCTCTAGCGTAGAATGTGGCCCTAAGACGGAGCTAGGGAACTCTATGACCAACTGGGACTTCCGCTTCCGTCCTGCTGACTCTCACGAGGCGACTGGCTAGTGTGGTGGGTGGATTTATTCCTGGCTATTTCTGCGCGGAAGCTTAGGTGGAGGGCCAGCCTCCCTGCAGAGCTGGGGCCGCTGCCTGTCACCCCTACCCACGCACGATCAAGCCAGGGAAAAAAGATGGGCAGGTCCTTTCTGCGCAGATCCCGCGCAGGTGGTGCTTAACTCAAATTCGTCTCCCTTCCCGAGGAGTCGGAGAGACAAGTTTTAGCGTTTATTATCACTGTCAGTTGTTACCAGCATGTTTCACTAAAATGAAAAAAGGTTCTTGTCCTCTAGATTTTAGGACGATTTCTTTTCATACAGGCTGGTCGCTTGTCTCCCGTGTGTAAAATTGTTACAACTGTAGGCACATTCTGCTAGATGAAATTGGTTCCTGCTCTCTGACTCAGTGGATACGTCTTGTTAGGGGTACCAATACACGGACTACAGCAATCCTGATGGTCTAGCACGAACTGAGTTTTGACGTACTAGGTACTTAAAGGTTGTATACAAAAAGTAATCTGTCAAAGGGTTTGCAAAGTCCAGGTTGTATATTTAGAGTTGTGGATAAAGGTAATGGAATTTGGATGAGTTCACCGTCTCTCTGATAAATCCAATTCCTTAGCTAAAAATATGCAAGGTATTATTCACTGCTCTAGGGGATTCTGAGGTGTATAAGTAGATTATTGGTTTGTATGACGAGAACCTTTAAAAGGGCTTGGATTTGTTTTAATTTTAGAAGTTTTCTTTATAGTTCTAAAATATGATTTATACTTTACTAAAATAGCTGTCACTGCAATTGTTGAATTTCTAAAAAGTATTAATTTTTTAAAAAAATGTTTGTTTCAGCTTTAAAACTTTTGCCGTGTAACTATCCTTGGCTGACTTTGTATTCACTATGTAGCCTATGCTCACAAAAATAAGATAGCCCCCAAAGAACAGGACTGTTTAACCATTTTAGAGTTCTGTAGCAGGAGTTAGCAAAATTTCATCCCAGTAACCTTGTTACAATGAATGAGAATGAAGTTGTCATTGTGCCCATGAATCCAATCCTAACTGACAGGTGTGATGTGTTGGCGCACACATGTAATCCCAACACCAGTGGTGGTGCATGCCTTTGATCCCAGCACTTGGGAAGCAGAGGCAGGTGTATCTCTGAGTTCAAGCCAGCCTGGCATACAAGAGCTAGTTCCAGAATAGCTAGGGCTACATAGAAAAACCCTGACTCAAAAAAAAAAAAAAAAAAAAAAAGAAAAGAAAAGAAAAAGAATAATGTCATGCCTTGGGATATAACTTAGTGGTAGAGTATTTGCCCCACATGTATGAAGACCTAGGATTCATCCCAGTTCTGAAAAAAGTGTCCATTTTTATTTTACTTTGGTAATGTGTCAGTTTTTAGTCACCAAATAATCAATGCATCAAAAACTCCACTCTTAAATGTATTGCTTAATAGAAGACACATAAGTGACTGACTTTGCTATTAGAAGGCATTAAAAGCTAATCCTAACCATCATATTTGGGGATCTTAAATATATAATAAATATGTTACATAGGAAATCATATAATAAATTTTTTAGTAAATAACTGCTGTAGGAATTTATCAGAGTCTCTGTATTGGGGTAGATATCAGAACGCTGATTTTTAGAAGTACTTTGACCTTGAAGAATCCTGTGGAAAACTGTTTTTTTTCTGATTTGTAGAATGTTTTGCTGAAGGGGCCTTGTAGCTTAGCCATCGGATGACTTTGGTCACAAGGCGCCTCAGGTGCATTGGAAACAATACAATTAGATTAGAATTATGAGGGCATGTAATGCTCTCCAGTAAGATATGTAAATTAGACTAGGGAATCTTTGTACCAGGAAGTACTTTGTATAACTTTCAATAAATACACCTTTGTACTGCTGTTTGGGGTTCAGTCTATCAGAGAGGCTGGACCTTCCTGCTCCCACATAGGCCTTAAAATATCATCTTGGAGTGCCTTCTTTCTTGAACCACACTTCATCTTCACAGTGCACCCTAACAAACTAACCTGATTGCAATTTTGTAATTGGTTGAAGTTGCCCTCTATTTTTGTTTTTCTTTTTTTCATTTTTTGGTTGAGACAGGCATTTTCTGTGTAGCCCTGGTTGTTCTGGAACTCACTCTGTAGACCAAGCTTGCTTCGAACTCAGAGATCTGCGGGCCTTTTCCTTCCGAGTCTTGCCATGAGGCAGAGGCTGGTGGATCTCTGTGAGTTCCAGGCCAGCCTGCTCCAGGACAACTAGGGTTGTTAGGAAAAAAAAAAGTTGGATCTCTATATCAATTCCTGAGAGATAGTAGCCCCTAATAAATACTTGTTCAATGGTGGAGTGAGAAAAGCCAGAAAGCAGCTGGGCAGAAGAACCTCTAATGTATAGACACAAAAGTTCAAAACAGGTGAGTCCCAGCACGCTAGAGGCACAAGCAAGAGGGGCTCCTGTTGTAGACTAGCCTGAACTTCATCGCCTGATACTTTTTTCTTCTGTTTCTGAAGCTACCTTGTACGACTTAAGCCCCAACAAGATTAAGAGTGTGTGTTAGGTGGCTCGACAAGATTGAGTGTGTGCCGGGTGGCGCGAGATGGGGCACTTATTGATTAAGTCTTCCTAGTCATATCCAATGTAGGGATTCGAACTCAGATCTGAATGCTTCTTAGCCTCATTGAGTCGCTGTCTCCTAGTTCCACTGCTCATGTATGTGGATCAGTCCTGATTTCTATCACCTGTACGGTCTTCTGAATCTGACAGGCAAATTAGCTGAAGTTTGTGTTTCAGAAAATAAGGTATCTCACACAGGTTTTACAAAATTCTTGTTCACGGAAATAAGTCCCGAGAATATCCACTTATTTAACATATCCTTTGGGAAAGCCACTGCGGGTGGGTCCCTTGGTCTATAGGCACTGTCCTGACCCAGAGAAAGGGAAACCTTTCCGTTGCCGAGGCAACAGAGACACAGCCTGGTTGTTTGGGTCTCCCGCGCACCCGGATGACGTCACGCGACGAGATTCTCTCTTACGCCAAAGCTTCCGGCCCACCATCTTTGTCCCTGGCAGATTGGGTTTTGCGCAGTGGCTTAGATCTAGAAAGAATCGTGACGGGCAGGAAACCATTACACCACCACCCGGGCTGTGCTCTCCCGCTACCGCCGCCACCCCGCCCTTGCCTCCGGTGAGTTCAAGGCGGCTGGCTTTGGGGTGTGTCCCTGAGTGACTGGGGGTGGTTGTGAGGGAGGGCAACCCCAAGCCGGGTCTTAGGCGCGGGAGGAAAGGAGATCCGAGGAGCGTGACGGTTGAGGATGGAGGGAGTCCTCGGGTGTGACCGTTGTGAGGGGGAAGCTTGGAAAAAGTGCCTCCTCCGTGGGGGCCGTGGCGGGATAGGGCTGAGCTCGGGTGTAGCAGCGGGTAGTTGGGGGCTTCGGAGCCCAGCGGGTTCCCAAGACCGGCTCGGAAAGGACTGAGGCCAGGGGTGTGGCCGCTAGAGCCTGGAGGCCGAGGGAGAACCACCCAGCTTTCCCGTTTGGCGACTGTTCATTGAGAAGCCTGCACTGGACGTGTCCAGCAAGCAGAGGGAGAAAGGATTCCCCCCCCCGACGGTTTGGCCATTGAGACCTCTCATGTCACCCGTATTTGGGGTTTAAAGTCTTCTCTCCCTGCTTGGTGAAAACTGACCAGATCTCCAGGGTCTTGACCCGGGGGAGTGGGTAAAGAGAAAAGGGGACCAAATGTACTTCGAGGAAGAAAGGAGAAACCTGCAAAATTGACCTCTTGCGTGAGAGGGGGAAGCCAATGAAAGCAAATCTTAGCCCGGGGTTGTTTTTTTCTCCCCCTCTTTCTTCCCTGGGGTTATCAGGAGCAGTGTAGTTTGAGCAAGGCTGTAAATTCTACTAGAAGTGAAAAAAACCTGGAATTTCCTGCTATTTCTTTATTCTTTGAATCCACAGCATGTATTAGCTTTCTGAGCAGCCCTCTGGGGGAAAGCTCTTATAAGGCTCTGGCTATTTGTTTTATTACGAAGCAGCGTGAATGTGTCCTGGATGCTTCGTTGAATTTTTCTTTTTTTTAACTTTCAGAAGGGAGAGTGTTTTTAAATTGCCAAACACTTCTGCAGCCATTGTGGTTTAAAAGACAAAGAACACACAATAAGCTCAGAAAGGCAAGTTGACTGAGAGAGCGCTCTCAGTGAGGACCAGTTTAAATTATTCATTGCTTTCCTAGTGTGGTTCTGCTTAGCCTTAGGGTGCACTTACAAAGTAATAATAGAAAGCAGCCAGTGAAGGAGGTGCAGCAGAGGGTAATGCATCCCAGGGATGACTAAGTGAGATGTGAAATGAGGTGTTTTGTGTTTTAGGGGGGCCCCCCCCCCCCCCCCCGAGAAATAAAGGGGAGCGCGTTCTGCAAAAAGTCCCCCTAAAGTTAGATGGTAAACTTAATTAATATAAAGCAAATATTTTGAGGAATTAAGGCTTAAAGAAGTTCCCTTACTTCCTTTCTGTAAAAGATCGTTTTTTTTTTTTTTTTTTTTTTTTTTTTTTTTTTTTTTTTTCGAGGCAGGTTTTCTCTGTGGCTTTGGAGGCTGCCCTGGAACTCCCTCTTGTAGACCAGGCTGGCCTCAAACTCAGAGAGATCCGCCTGCCTCTGCCTCCTGAGTTCTGGGCCACCACCGCCCAGTAACTATTATATCTTAAGGCACATGTTTGACCCAAATTAGACAACGAATATTCGGAGAAGACACCATTCCCCTTTTTCTTTCCTCCTTGGCTTAAGTTTCCTAAAATGCCTTGGCATTTCTTAACAATTGGGTGTGAGATTGTTGGGCTTCTTTCTTTATGTATAATACTATAATAGTGAATTATCTTATAGTTATTGAAAGAAGCTGGGGGTGAATTTGGCTTTTAAATATTTTATTTCTGATAAGGTAACAATCTGAAGCTACTGTT